TAAAATAAAATAAAATAAAATAAAATAAAATAAAATACGCGCACTTATTCATTTAATTATTAATAAAACATTAAAACCGATATTTTTCTAAAAAAAGAGATTTTTATTAAAAATTAAGTTGAAAAAAAAAGGGGGGGGACTTTACGTGCAAACAAAGTACTAACGAAAATAAAGTTATCAGGAAAATAATTGATTTGCCTCGAGTGAAAATGCTCGGCCGAAAGTCAATCTAGGCGTCTTCATTGTGAACCTGACTACGGCACTCTGGAATAGGGTCATTAACAGAATTGTCTGCACTTATTCAACTCCCCTTTAACTTCCGACTTCGAAAATTATCCCACTGCCGGATATATAGGAAGGAAACTCCCTATTCAAGCTACGATCCCCTTTTACATGTTGACAAAGTATATTGCTCTTTAAACAATGTAACTTGATTTTATTACAAGACATACCATTGTATAATAAGTGAAGGCGCTGTGGAAGTTTCTTAGTTTAGGCTTAATTAATGGTAAAATTTGACATTGAAGGATACTCTTATGGAGATACAATAAAGTTATTTATGGTTGCCAAGTCATTCTTCGGACAACTAGATATTTGAGTTCTGTCTTATGCAAAACTCAATAAACTAAATTCAAGTTCTTAAAGAGGAGAAGATGCTTTTTTTAATTTATTCGTTGTATGTATTTGTTTGCTAATTGTAGCGATGTATATAAATTAGGCATTAAAGATTTTATTCCCATTTAATAATAATAATAATAATAATAATAATAACAATAATCACCTGATTTATCATTTAGCCTGGGAGGCCCAGGCTAGGGCCCTCTCATTTCTAATTGCCCTTCATTTCTGAGGGCACCCTACATGTTACAAATAATTTGCTTTCGTGCTTTTCCTAAAGAACTGTCTATTAAAATTATGGGTTAACAAAGATTGAAATAAATATAAGCTCAAATGTACTAACTTGTCATAATTTAGGTATATTATAAATAATTTAAAAATACTTTTTAATTAAACAACAGGTAAACTTTGTTCAAAATAGCGATCTGGAGGCCCTGATAGTTCTATATCTAGGGGTCTAGATCATTCCTAGATCAGGCCTTGATGATGATGATAATAATAATAATAATAATAATGGCTGGTTAGGTAAAGGATCTATTTTGAATGACGAAGAATGAAGCATTTCGTTACATTAAACATAACATAAAATATTACATTTAGCATTTAAACATAATTTATTATTGCAAAAAATAAACATAAAGTTGTAATTGTTAAATTATTTCTTCATAGCAGCAATATATGTAAGGTATATTAGCAATATAAGAGAAAAATATTAACAGTGTAAGCTATATAATTAAAAACCTAACTGGCTCTAACATATAGCATTTGCATTAAGTAGATTCTTTTTCGAAACACTGTTTCCATACCGTTAATATAGTGATTGAGTTTCGTGAACGAACATTTTGAGTAATGAGATAATCGTGTTATGGGGGTATAGGAGCGTGTCGAATTTTTCTAAACGAGTAATACAAGAGGTTACGAGTGAAAATTTATCCATTTTGAGTTTCACAAAGATCAATGCAATATGTCTGAATTTGAAGAGCAGATGTTTCAATCAGCTGCAAAGATTTAGATTGTTTCACAATTAATGGCTTTTACCCTCGAAATTTTATTGAGTAATGTTTCTTTTAAATTTTAGTGATTTATAAATTAATTCAGAACCGTATCGTTTGCACAAAATTAAAAAAAAATGAAAGTTAGTTTTTACGTTGCAAATTCGTTCCTTACAAATTAAATGAATGAGTGTAATTAACGTAAATTTAAGCGAATAAGTGCATTAATATAAATTTGAATACATAAATGTAGTTAGCGTAAACTTGGATGAAAACCTGTAATTAAAAAAATTTGAATAAGTAAATAAAATAAAACTGAAAGAATAAACTAATTGCATCGTTTGCTCAAAATTAAATTCCGTTTATATCGTATTCGCATGTATCGTTTGCACAAAATTAAATTTCTTTTACTAAAAAGTAATCTTTTACGATGTAAATGTGTTTTTTAAGAATTGAATAAATAAATGTAGTTTACATAAATTTGATTAAATAAATGTATTTAATGTAAATTTGATTGAATAAATTAATGCAAAATGAAATGAAAAAGGAAATGTTAAATTGAACAAAAAAAAAATGAATGTAAAATTGAGGGAATGAATAAATGTAAAATAAAAACAATAATTGAATTGCTTCAGAGCAATATTATTCAGTTAAAAAATAGTAATATTTTACGATGAATATGTTTTTTAAGAAATAAATGTAATTAATGTAAATTTGAATGTACAGAGGAGTTTAAAATTAAATGAAGTATGAATTGCTTTAAAACTAATGTGATAGCGCAAAATTAAAATTAAAAAAATGTAACCTTTTGCAAAGTCGATCTTTTAACAATAATCGTAATCTTTTGAATGAATAAATGTAAATAATGCAAATAGGAATGGATAAAAAAATAAAAAGTTGAACAATCGTATCAGAAGTATATTTTTGTAATGTAATTAATCTAAATTTGAATGAATAAAGGAATTATTTCAGAGTTATAACGTTATGTAAATTAAAAAGTGTAATCTTTTGCGATTTAAATGAGTTTTTTTAAGAATAGAGTGAATGAATTAATTAATCATAATTTTAATGAATAAATGAATCTAAAGGTGGATTTCAGAATTATATCGATTGCTCAAAAACAAAATTAAAAACGAAGATGAATCCTTTACACTGTTAATGGATTCCCTAAAAATTGAATGAAAAAATAGAACTAATGTAAATTTGAATGAATGTAAAATTGAATTAATAAATTAATTTTGTCAGAACTATATCGTTTGCTCAAAAGTAAAATTAAATTAAAAAAAAATTTTGACGATGCAAATGTATTAAAAATTGAATGAATTAATGTAATTAAATTAATTTCGAATGAATAATTTGTGAAATTGAATAAATAAAGAATTTTTTAGGATTAAGTCACATAAGGAAAAAAATTAATTAAAAGAAGTAACTTTAATAATTTGAGTTCTATCAGAGCTGAATAATTATACAAATTATTTCAAAGTTATATCGCCTGAATACAGAAATGTAAAAAAACATGATAACTTAAAAAGAAAAAAAAAATCAAAGGAATCTGATTTTTAGGATGAAATAAATTGTTTAGTATTTGAATAAACTAATGGCTTCAAAACTGTAACGATTGCGCAAAATTATTTCAAAAAATTTGTTTTTTATGATTTAAATATTTTTGAATGGAAGTGGGAAATGAATTATTTTAAAACATATGTATAGAAGTAAACTTCTTAAAAAGTGCCATTACTTACCTTGTAAATCAATTGTTTCGAAATGGGAGGAATGATGGATTTTAAATTTTTAAAAATGTCGTTTTTTTACAGTTGGAATTAAATATATTAGAAATAATGGAATAAATAACTACTTAAAAATTATATCACCAGCACAAAACTTAAATTAAAAAAAGTGACATTTTTTTAAAGTTAAAAATAAATGATATAAACTCAATTTTAGTTTAAGAATAAAAAAACATGGAAAAAATAATTTTAAATGAATAATAACGTTACAAACACAATATAAATTACTAGAAGCTTAAAAATTAACTCTTTTCTGAAAATAAAATTAAAATTAAACTAAAACACTATAAACGTAATAAAAAGAAGATAAATTCATGAATTAGAATGAATTAAAATTTAATTCATTTTACCTAAATTAAATTTTATTTCCATTCATAATTTCCATCAGGATGTATTGCTTTTTGAGTAAAAACCAATTTAAACTAAGAGAAGTGTGAATATTTAATTCTGAAAAATAGTTAAAAATTTATTTGTATAAAAATTAAGTTAAATTTATAATAGTTATGACTTAAGATTAATACTACTAAGCTATAATAGCTTTTTAAAGAAATTCACATTAAACAAAAGCGATGTAAAAATGTTACAGTTTATGTAAACGAAATACTTCTAAACTTTTAAAATTAAAGAATAAATAGGAATATAACATAGAACAATATGTTTTTATCTCGAAAATTGATTTTTTGATCAAAAATTTTACTATTTTTGCGATAAATAACGTCCATAGTAGATATTACGATTTAGTATTGTGAAAACTAAATAAAATCAAGTGTTTCTTATGAAGATGCATTTTTTAGGACTTATTTTTATAAAATCTATATGCAATCTAAGCATAGAGCAAGACCTTTTAAACGCTTCTTCAGATGACATTAGGCATTAGTCATGATACATTAGACATTAATCACCTCGTAGTTTCAATAAAAAAAAATTGTTTTGAAAATTTTTATTATTATTATTAGTTTTACTTTGCTTTTTTATTTTTTGAAAAAAAATTTAAAAATTCTTTTTGAAATTATTTAGTCAAGTGCAAAAGTATGCGAAACATTTGCAATCCATTTGCGCCATTTGTTTCTAGTTTGTTTAAGTTTCAGTTTAAGTTCAGTTTAAGTTTTGTTTAAATTTTCCCTACTAAAAAAGTTTTCATTAGTTAAAAATTAAATCTTTTCGTGGAGCAGCTTAAAAACATTTAATTAAGGAGAATCACATATTGAATGATTTTACATTAATAAATACCTAATACGCATTCATACTACATTACAATATACTACCTAATATTTATGTTGATAACCATGTAACAATGTCACGTACTAATATCACATACTAATATTGTAAAATAATACTACATAATAGTAAATACCAAAATTTAAGTAATAATAAATGATATCTCTATAATAAGAAGTGAGATCAGAAAATTTTTTAAGCTCTAATAGGAATAAATATTCTAAAAATAGAGGATCCAAAAGATGCGTGAATTCCAGCTCTTTCTCTTCACTCTTGCCAATGATTGGTCGATATCATTTCTGAAGCTCCGCCCTTTTTGCTCAGTGGATGCGGTAAAATGTCTTTTGGTGACCAGTGATATGAAAAATGATCTAAAGGTAGAAAAAATATTTTAGCTCCCCAAAAGATGAGGTGGTTTTTTCGGCATCCTGGATAAATATATCGTTTTTTTTTCTTCGAGTTAACAAAAAATTGAAAAAATGAACCTTATTTTCAATTTTCTTGTGACAATGATAGTTAGATTGAAGATTTTTTTGAGTGCAAGAATAGCTGTTGTAATTTTGATGGCGTTCTGTTGTCCACAAGGTGTAATAGGATCATGGTGGTATGATATACATTCATATGATTCATTTTTCTCATTTTATTCAATAGTGGAAGTTTAAATTGAAAGTTAGAACATGATTCTAAAATTCCAAAATTTATAAAGTCACTTGTTTAAAAATTTGTATTCTTTTTCCTTGATTCAAAATATAGTTTTTAGACACTTATTAGAGTAAATGTATTCTAGATCTATAGTAAGTTGTTCAATAAACTAACAGTATACCCAGCTTCTTTATCTTATTTTATTCAATTGAAAAATTTTACAATTGAAATCTGAAAATGAGATACATAAAAACAGTTTTCTCTAAATATTGAGTTCTTTTTTGGCTTTAAAATATTTTAAATAAAGGAAATAATTTCGAGGCACATTTAAAACGAGTTACACCAAAAAGGCTATAATTAAAATTATTTGTTCAAAATGAGCTATCACTACGCACTTCTGTTGTCCTTTTGTTTCATTTTATTAAAAAAAGATAATCCGGAATTAAGAAATAGAATACAATACTAAAATTCCACTATTTATAGAATCATTTGCATAAATTGTTTGTTCTCTTTTAAAATATTATTTTTAGACTACTTTGAGAATAAAAATTACTCTACAAGTAAAGTTTGTAAGTTGTTCAATACTCAAAAGCTAGTTTAGAGCTGATAGATAGCACTGATCAAGCCTCTTTACCTTATTTTGTTCAATTAAAAAATACTAAAAACTAAAAATAAAGTATAAAAAATCTATTTGCTCAAAGAATTGATCTCTTTTCCTAACATTAAAGTATTATTTTTAAAAAAAAGATCTATTGAGACAAATGAAAAACGAGTAACAACAAATTGACAAGAGTAAAAGTTGTTCAAAATAAACTATTAGTACTCTCTTATGTAGTCCTTTTGTTTAAAAATAACTACATAAGCTCTTTTTATTAAAAGACAAAATTACAGAATTGAAAATTAGAATACGATTCTAAAATTCCAATATTAATAGAATCATTTACCCAATAATTTGTATTATTTTTTTTCAATTCAAAATGTTATTTTTAGACTCTTTTTAGAGAAAAAATTATTCTACAATTATAATTTGTAAGTTGTTTAGTATCCAAGAGATAGTTTAAAACTGCACTGATCAAATCTCTTTATCTTATTTTATTAAACTGAAAATTTTGAAACTACAATTTAAAAATCCAAAATCTGAAAAAAAAAAAATTTTTTTTTTAAAGAAATATTTTCTTTTTCTAAAATGATAATATTATTTTGAATAAAAGAAGACAAATTGAGCCAGATTAAAAACGAATTGCAGCAAAGTGACAAGAGTAAAAGTTAAGTTGTTCAAACTAAGCTATTGGTACGTATTTATGTAATCCTTTTGTCTTATTTTTATTAAGAAGCAAAATTCCAGAATTGGAAATTAGAATGTTTCTAAAATTCCAATATTTATAGAATTCTTCAATTAAAAACTTTTATTCTTTTTTCTCAATTAAAATTGCTACTTTAGGACACATTTTAGAGCAAAAATTATTCTACAATTATTCTTACGAAATTTTTGTGTACTCAAGCAAGTTTTAAGCTAGTAGTACACTAATCTAGCATCTTTACATTATTTTACAATATAAGAAAATTCTAAAATTATAATCTAAATGTATCAAAAACCGAGATGCTAAAAGAATTGTGTCCTTTTTTTTCTAAATTTAAAGTATTATTTTGAATAAAAGAAAATACATCAAGACAGATTAAAAATGAGTCATAGTAAAATGATTACAATAAAAATTAAATTGTTTAGAATGTAGTCCTTTTGCCTCATAATTAGACGATAAAATTTTAGAATTGAAAGTAAGGGTGCAATTATTAAATCTATTAAAATTTGTAAGACCGTTTGCTTGAATATATTTTTATATATGTTTGCTTGAATTATATTAATATATAATTTTAAGATATTTGTATTTATTTGTAATAATAAATGATAACAAGAAGGTTTTTGAATTCAAAACATCCTACAACAAGAGTTCGTCTGTCATTCAAAAACTAGTTTTAAGCAAATAGTATATAGATCAAGTGCCTTTTAGAATTAAATATTATTCTACAACTATTTATAAATTGTTCCAAAAATGAAATTGAACTTTTAGCAAGCAGTCTTATTGATTTAATTTTAAGATATCATTTAAAGTGTTTTATGCTTTTTTTTTTTAACGATACTATTTTTAGTTTCCTGTTTATGGGTAATTCTCACGAAATATGACAATTTACAGTCACTTACACCAAGATTTAAAACTAAACTACTAAAGTAACTTTATAAAAAAAAATTTCATGAATAGCATTGCTGTTAGCATTTTAAAATAACCTAGTACTAGCATCGACTATTTTGTATTTTTAAAAAATTAAATTGAACTTCAAAATTTCATGTATCTGGCATGTCACAAACAAATGTTTCCAATAATAACTAGTTTCAAAACTTCCCATAAGTTTTTTAATATCTAATTTTCTTTATCTCGACCGGTGCAAGCATTTCTAGAATATACGCAGAGGGTATTATTTACAAAAACTTCTTTTAACTTTTTTTTTCTGTCAATAATTTGTTTGTCACAGGAAAATCTGTCATTTTCCTGGCTACTTTTATTTAGTAACCTAATAAATCAAAATAGACAGAGCCAGCAATCAATCTTATGTAAATAGATTGATTAGATACTCTCCTATCTGAATATGTCTTGTTGCATGAATAAAGAACCAACTTTCTGGTTCAAAATCTATTTCAAAAATTCTTTCAAGGTGAGTAGGTTTTTATGCACAATTTTATTCTGTACATATCAGCAATAAAATTTTTTTGATTCTTTCTACAGTAGATAAAAAGAATTAATTTAAGTTATTTATGGTTCATTTAACATAAAGGCTTAAATTTTGTTACTTACTAATAACTTAAAATGAGGTTTTTTTTCAAACTTCTAAGCTAATATGTCATTTTCCTGGTATTCAAAATGTAGTGAATTTCAATTTTATTTTTTTCTTGAGCAAATGTCAATAAACTACACTGCTGCCTGAAAGACATTAATAAATGTAACTAAATAAATATACAAAAAAAATTTAGATTATTTTGAAGACTTTAAATTCGAAGAAATTTTCTGGTTCGAATTGTCTTGTTTCCTGAAAACCACCCTTATATGTCCAACAAAATTTAGAATTTTTTCTAATAAAAATTATTCAACTTTCACTTTTGTTTAAATAGAATAATCCTTTTTAGTATTTGAAGCAATTTTTTCAAAAAGTTAACTTTTTTCAGAAAATTTAGAATTTTTTTTCTTCTAAAAATGGAGAATATTTCAAAATTTACTGAATATACTTGATTTTGATTTAGTTTTTGTTTAACAGATGTCATTTTCTTGTTTTTTCTATTGACGCTCTGTCAAGCCAAGCTCGCCAGCCTTTGGTCTTTCTGATTAAGTCAAGAAGGAGCACCATTCGTTTAAGAAAAGAGCACTGGGGTGAAAGTGATACTTAGCTCAGAGCCCCTTGGATAGATCTCATTTTAAAGAAATTATTGATAATAATATAATTGATAATTAATTAATAATTGCTAATAAAGAAATTAATTCCATAAGTTAAAGCTTAACGACTTAAATTGTTTCTTGAAATTAATCTTAGATTGCATTGTGATTTTTCTTTCTTTTTTTACATTTAAAAATGGATTTTCAGGTATTTTAATAAGATTATCCTGAAATACTCTAAATATATTCCCATCACATCCATTTTTACGCAATGTATCTTTTAAAAAAGAAAATGAGATTTTGATGAAGCTGATGATGAAATTTTTGGCATATTTGGCATATTCGAAAATACTGTTTAGCTTAAAATGTTCATGTATGAATGTTCATTAACGAATTTTTTAGTTATAATTCATGAATATTCTGTTTGGTTGTTCTTGATATAATTTGTCTATATTTCATTTTAATATAATGAGTTTTAATGCATAGTTGCATTAAATACAGCTCCAACTATTATTTACATAACTTTATTTATTTAATTAAAATGCTTTATAACAATAACACTGCGTGGTAAACAGTCTGTGTTACTATTTCAAAACGCTGTTACTCACAAACATTTGTTTTAATTGATCAAAAAGCAATGAAATAATGCAGAATTTGATAATCAGAATCATTTAAACTTATATAGTAAAATATTCATTTTTAATTTTTCAATAATATAATATTCAGAAAATCAATACTTTTAAAAAATATATTTTTTGGTTTTAGTATGAAAAATAAATAAATTAAATATTGAAGGATTATTTAAGAGCGAATGAAACACAATGAAAGTCAATAATTTTTAATGAATTTAATGCCACTATCTTTTGTTGAAAATAAATTTATTAATTAATAATAATTTTTAAGAGTTATTGTGTTATGTGTCAAGTCTTTAAGACACAAAGTTATACAATGTACTTCGGTAGGTAAGTCAGAAAAACACAAACTTAAGAAGAACTATGAAACATACGTTAATTAAATATAATTGCATAATTGCGATTGATAATATACTAATAAGTTATTGTTCAAAACGTTGAAACAATCCGACAGCGTTATCCGTGAAGCTATTTATAAGGATTTAACTATTATTAGTTTTTTATTTTGATATTATAAAATAAATACATTATTTTTGTTTCATATTTAAATTCTAAAATTATGTATAATTTATGAAATTATATATAATTTATATAAAATGTAAAGTTTCAAAATTCTTGCAAAAATATTTAACCTACATTAAAACTCTTTTTTAAAATAATTTTGCAAAAATTGCCTAAATACAAAATCGTTCTTAAATCATTTAATTGTATTGCATCTTTGATTTAATATACATTCTAAAATGTATGCAAGTTATAAAAAAAGTTTAGAAATGCTCTCAGTAAATCAAATTATTTGAATACAAAATTATTGAATTATGATATATGCCAGCCATAAATTTCGAAAAATTAAAACCTTACTAAATATTTCATTATTATTAAAGGTTTACATACTTAAAGATAAATTACAATAAGTGCAGTAAGATGTAAAGTTAGCAGTACTTTTCAGATTTAAGCTTAACGTAGATTTTTCATATAAATTTAAATATTAAATTTTTAAAATGAATTTAGAAATTAATCGATACGTTTTCTTTTCGTTTCTAAAAGAAATTAGCATTTCTTTCAATTCAAAACTTAAGATAATAATACTTAGATAGATGAGATATTATTAAAGGTTTACTTACTTAACTATAAATTATTTTAAGTGCAATAAGTGCAGAAAGTTAGCAGTACTTTTCAGATTTAAGTTTAAAGTAGATTTTTCATGTAAATTTAAAAATTAAATTTTTAAAATAAATTTTGAAATGAATCGATACGTTTTCTCTTCGTTTCTAAATGAAATTAGCATTTCTTTCAATACAAAACTTGAGATAATAATACTTAGATTGATAAGATATTATTAAAGGTTTACCTACTTAACGATAAGTTATTTTAAGTGCAGTAAGTGCAGAAAGTTTGCAGAACTTTTCAGATTTAAGTTTAAATTAGACTTTTCATGTAAATTTAAATAATAAATTTTTAAAATAATTCTTTTTCTTTTCGTGTCTATAAGAAATAAGCCTTTTTTAAATTCAAAACTTAAAATAATATTACTTAAATGGATAAGGTAAAGTAGACTAGCTTTTAGTCTACATTTGCGAATGAAATTACAGAAAAATATACTAAATTAAAAAAGTCGTGAACATAAAAGTTTATAATAATATGTAGTTTACATTCTTTAATGCATAGAGTTAACAATATTCTAAAAATTATTTTGAAAACTGTAAAAATAAATTCTTTTAAAACTTAGCTAAGAGATTGTAAAAGCTGTTAGTCGAATGTTTGTCTGAAATTAACAATACAATTGTAAATATTGAGACAAAATTTTTAGAAGATACTATAATAGTTGTTTAAAATGAAATAAATTTGTTGTTTTTCTTAAAATTATGTTGTTTTTAATAAGTTTTGGGTTTGAAGAAAAGTGTACTTACACCCCAAAGCTTTAATCTTCAAGATTTGATTCCTTGCATAATGGACAATTATTTGTTTACTATGACATTTATGCATGTATTTAATTTGACCATTTTTTTCCAGCCCAGTAAGTTCGCGAACCAAAATATATAAAAAAAAAAAAATGAGACTGAATTGCGTATTGTATCATTTGGTTGAAAAACTTGCCCAGTTATAGAAAAATTAATTTTTTGTGTAATTGTGTAAACTGAGTTTTCGTTGACTGCAACTGTTTCGTGATTAGATATTTAATATTTGATTAAAGGAATTGGAAGGTATTAAAACGTGTGTGATATTTTGTTCTTGTATATTTCATGAGGTATAATTTAGTATAAATTATAAGCTAATGAATTAAGTGGATCTTATATATAAATGTGAAATAAAACTAACAGCTCTGCTATGAGAACGAGAAATTTTTAATTTTCCTTATCAAAAAAATTTCGAAAAACACCTTTTCAAAAATTATCCTGAAAATGGTGTATTATCCTGCTCTAATTCTGATAAAAGTCTCAGGGTAAAAGGAATTAACTTATATACTTTCTCAACTACTTTTCTTTTGTATCCAATTGTCGGGACTTATACATACATAAGAATTTGGAATAATTATGAATTATTTCTTGATTTTAATTATTTTTTTTTACAAAGTCTCGTGAAATTGTTAATTTTTAAAAAGTTTTTTTTTGTAATATTCGAGATATTTGTTCGTTTTAAAGCTCAGACAATTATTTATACCAAGAAGGTGTTTATAGTTTAAAATTACAGCTCTGCTTTTAGTACGAGACACTTAGATTTAGACATTTTTTAATTTTTTTTATCAAAAAACTTCGAAAAACACCTTTTCAAAAATTATCCTGAAAATGGTGTATTATCCTGCTCCAATTCTGATAAAAGTCTCTGGGTAAAAAGAATTAACTTATATACTTATATCTCAAATTCTTTTTTTCCCCTTCAGGCTCCTAAGCAGACTGCAAGTTTCTTCTGCCCTTTTTGATACTCAGATGCTTTGTGGTGGAATTCCTGGACTTGCCAGAAAACAAAGAGAGATATGTGAACAGCATCCTGACATTCTGTTGAGTGTTACAAAAGGTGCCAGAATAGGAGTTTCTGAATGTCAAGCACAGTTTCGAAATCAGAGGTGGAACTGCTCAACTCTAGGATCTGGTGCTTCTGTTTTTGGAAGCCATATGTTGAAAGGTGACAGCTTCAGGATATTTTTCTTTCAAGAATATCGCTTTTTTTCCTTTACTCTAAACACCGAAATTTTTTTACAAAGCTTTTTTTAAATTTATATTAAAAAAGAAATTTAAACATACATCTTTGATGATAAAATCTCAAAATCATTACCGTAACAGCTGTAATTGCTAAGTCAATCCACATTTGAGATATAATTATTATTTGATTTTACTATTTTTGCTATCAATGTCAGAAAATAATTCTAGTTTTTGGTATAAACTTTCTCAAGAATACATTAAATATATGTTTCTGACAGGGCTTGTGGGTAACATTCCAATAAAGGAGAATTTTTAAGAAGAAAAAAATGTTAATATTTTTGATCTTTAACTAAATAGCAATATTTTTGATATTAACAACTAAAACCAAACTCAGTGGCACGACAGCCCATAGAGGGCCAAGGCCTACTGTGCCCATCTCAGTTTTCTTGATCTTGGACTCTGGGGTGCAGGAGCAGATGTTCCGGCTAGGTGGTCAGTCGAGCGCGAAACCCCCATTGTTTAGTTCCCAAATATGCTTGGTACTCATTTATCGATCCACTGAAGGGATGAAAGGCTGAGTCAACCTTTCTCGACCCGAGGATCAAACCCAGGACCCGTGACACGGGAGGGCGAAGCGCTATCACTCAGCCACCGGGCGTCTTTTTGATGTTAAACGAGTATAAAATAAGAGATAAATAACGGCTCAGAATAAAAATTTTCTTAAATTTATTGATTTATCGATATGCACTACATAAACATTTTTTAATCATCCAGTTATTAGCTCCATAAGAGAAAAAATAAATGAACTTTTTCTGTATTGCTTAATAAAAACAAGTTTTTTTCTTTTGAAATTTTAAATTTTAATTTGTTAATGAGTAGCACACTTGTTGATTTCTGCAAGTTGTATTCAAGACCTATTATCTTAAATAAGTTTCTTTATTTTCAATTTTTAATTAATAAAAAAATCCTTCTAATTCTGTAGTTGACAGTCGAGAATCTGCTTTTTTGTATGCTATCAGTTCAGCAGGGGTGACGCACGCCATCATTCGTTCCTGTAGCAGGGGAGAGATCCCGAACTGTCCCTGTGATCCCCTTCGTCGGGGTTTCGGCTTCGACCCCACTGTCGGTGGATATAGTTGGGGTGGATGTTCTCACATATCTGCAGGCGTTAAATTCGCTCGACAGTTCATAGATGCCCGAGAAGACAGAAGAAAAGATGCCCGGGCATTGATGAACTTCCACAACAACAGAGCAGGAAGAAAAGTGAGGAAGATAAAGAGTAATATTTATACTTTTTAACATTATTTTAAGTAACAGTTATACTTTTGGAACTGTTACTAAGATTAATAATGAATAATTGATTTAAAATAAGAGACAAGTTGGACAGTTTTATCAGTTAATAAGGTAAAGAGTAATATTTATATGATATAATATACTAAGCAAGTAATATTAATCAAAATTTATTCATATATAATATAATATAATATATATAATATACATTATTATAAAATACATTATTATTACATTATTACATTATTATATAATGCATTTATATAATATAATATAATATAATATTAATCAAAGTGAGAAAGATAAAGAGTAGGGGAGAGTGGGGTCAACTGTAAAATGTTTTACTTAACTATTTTTAACTAACAAAAAATCCAATGTATTATTAGTATTAATTGACAGACGAGTAAAGTAGACTATCCTGTACAATAAAAAAAAAATAAATATCTTATTTTAAATGTTATTATATTAGTTATTAACAATTTTTGACAGTCGTGCACTTGTTACAATTGTCCCCACTTATGGGGTCAATTGTAACAGTTCATAAATTCAACTAAAACACAGTTAATTATACATATTATCATAATTGTGATATATTTTTTTATTGATCAAAATAATAGTGATATTTTAGGAGTAAAAATAATAATGAGCAGAGACCTAAAGGGTTAAAACTTTTAACTGTAAGGGGTTAAAAATTTTAATTTATGGTGTGAAAGGTTACAAATAAAATAATGCGCATGCAACATAATATAAATGATATAGGAAACTATTGGTGGTTCCTAAAGAGTTAAGTAATGGTTTGTAAACATAATATTATTTATTTTCAGCTGTTACAATCGTCCCTTTACTTATTGTTACAATTGTCCCGAAGACGCCATTTCAGCTTCATTTGTTAAAAACATTGCTAGTTAACTAAGAAAACTAAACTTATTTTTTTGAAATGTTAATTAAGGTGCCCACTTACATATTTGGTTAATAATTTTTATTTGTTTAAACAAAATTACTTTGTTACAATATAATATTCTAATACCAAAAAAAGTACTTACGTAGCATGAAAATATCTTTTGTGATGTAACACTTTCAAAAGTACATAAAAATGGTTGCCAGCAGGGGTGTACATGTAGATTTATTAAATACACCTTGTGCGCCACCTAGGAACCAAATCTAGAATCCAATACTCGAAATTTTTGCTCTGTTACAATCGTAACCTGTTACAATTGACCCCACTCTCCCCTAATATTTATACTTTTTAACATTATTTAAAGTTACAGTTATACTTTTGGAACTGTTACTAAAATTAATAATGAATAATTGACTTAAAGTAGGAGACAAGTTGGACAATTTTATCAGTTGATATATTTTTATTATTGAATTTTATTTTGTATTACAATGGTGTGTTTATTATCTATCTGGTGTAGATTCTCCCGATTAGCTCCTTAGTAAAGAGGGAAGATGAACAAACTATAGATATATGATATGGTGTCTGTCTTTTCTTATGTAGATTGTTATGCTGATTTCAAATTTGAAAGCCATTTTTCTCTATCTTATCAGGTTTTAAAGATATTTACTAAGGTTAATTTTCATGGAACACTTGGATTAATCATGGATTAGTTTTCAAAGAATACTGTTTAAATTTCAGTAGCTTGAATGGAATAGAGTTTAAATTTTGATAATTTTTAATGAGATATTGTTTAAATTTTGGTAATTTTAATGAGTTATTGTTTAAATTTTAATAATTCAAAAAAAAAAAATTTGCTTTCACTGTTTACAGCATTTAGTCATCTTTGCCACAAACGCTAAGACTTTTTGAATTCTTTCTCAATGAAGAACGCTTTATACTACAACCACAGAAAAAAACTATGAAGAAAAAAGTATCTTGCAGAAAAAACAAGGAAAGAAAAGCATTGGAAACAATTGGAAAAAAAGCACTACTTTAACAATTACACGAATTTAATGATAGATTTGATTCAGGCTATTAAGCATGAGTTCTATGAAATGAAATATTTATTTGAATGTAAATAGATACTTTTTCTTTAAAAACTGATTAATATGCAAACATTATTCGATGCTTACGGGAACGAAATTATGCATATTCTGAATTTTCTTAATTGTACAATTATATAATATACTTAATAGTATTGTTATATATAATGTATCAGTTAATCTCATGAGATTTTGTGATCAGTTAAAAATATTGACAAAATATATGAAATGTTTCATTTTAATGTTTTTTTTTAAGATAACTTATTAAAAAATAATTACCACAAAACAATTTGTGTAATTATTCGAATTCAGAAAAATTATGGAACTGTTTAAGAGTAATGTTTAGAGAGTTTGTAAAATGTCGTGAAGTAGTTTGAAATGCGTAAAGTTCGTTCCATGAACTTTGAATTAATCCCTGTTCTTTAGTTAATTTTTTTTTAAACAAAAAATATTCAATTTCCTTAAAATAAATATGTAATTACGTTAAATTCGATCCTTAAATGCTCTACTGCCCAAATCATATTGTACGTAAATTCATAAGTTAGTTAAAGTACTGTTTTTTTTTCTTCAAAATTTTATTTTTTTCGGTGCTTTTTTTTCTAAAGTTCTTTTCCGGGTTCTTTTCAGATGCTCTTTTCTTAGGTTTACCATTTCCTACTGTGAGGACGTTCAAGATGTGTGTAATACTGAAGTATACGTTAGATTGAGTATGTATTTTCAGTATGCATTGATTTAATGTGAGATGTATATTGAACAAAACTTTTCTATGCAGCATGCATATGATGTCACTTAATCTGATAATATGTTCACGATTTCTCAATTTAATAGTAAATAGTTTTATTGTAAAATGATGATGAAGTATATCGACAAATGTTTGAAAAAGTATATCTAAGAAATGGTGGGTGATAGAGATAAATGGTTCGCATATTTTGAATCAGCACATTTTAATTGTCTTAGAAAATGCATTGTATTCTAAGATATGAAAATTTTTTTTAATTTTGTTTATCAGTGTAATGAAGATATTTCGTTTTTTGTCAGATAAATATCATGTAAATAAAGGAAATAGTTTTAATTATATATTTCTTTTGCTGCTTCAAAGGAAAAATATTTATATGTTACTAATATTTATAAATATTTATATAATATTTATTGTAAGTTACCGAAAACCGATAAGATGCACATTCCCTATTTAATCTGCAGATTAACTAGATAATCTTTTAATGTGCGGAATCATAAGTTTTCACAATTTTCTTATACTGTGAAAAATTCCGGATCAAATTATGGTATAAAAGTACCGGCACTTTGGGTGCAAAATTCGAAATATCCGCTTTATCCATTTTTACTGTAAAATATAATACTGCAATTTTTACTGCAATATTTATTTAATTCGAATGATTCAGTGAGTTTAACGTAATTATTACGGCAAAAATATGGTTTACTTGATTTTTTGTTCCGCAATATGTTTTGGTAAAAATGGATCTTACGATAAAAAGTACCGGCTCCCTGAGTACCGGTACTTTTTACTGGAATTTTTACTGTGCAGGTAATGTGCACATTAACAGTCATCATACAGTTAAAGTTCACAAATTTGTTTTTCCTATTTTATCAACTAATTTCTGAATTGTTTGATTATATTGACTTGATTTATAAACCGAAAGACAAATAAATGTCAATTTCCTTAATTGTGAGGAAATTTTAAATCATCTAATTCTTTTCTTGGTTACATTTGATTAAAGTGATTGATGATTGGTTCGATCATCAAATGTGTAAATTATTTGATTGCAGTAACTTGATTTTTCAAGTAACGAAAAATAAGTAAATAACGTTACGTTATGTATGCTTTCAGAAACTGCGGAGTTGTACTAGCAAAAATTTTATTTTCACTTTAAAGAGTGCTCAGTAGGTCATACGTAAATTATCTAGGCAGTTTGTAGATTACCTAGGTAATTTGAGGAATAAATAAATTTTTTGTTATTTCATTGCATCCTCCTAGTTAATCTGCACATTTTAGATAATTTGTAGAATTCTACAATTGAGAGGTAAAATATATGTTTTATTTCCTGGAAATTTACATACGGAAAATGTGAAGGCTCCAGGTCTTCTTAAACCTAAATAGTGCAATATCATCAAAAACGTAGGGCGCATTGCTTTCGAAAGACGTTGGGGGGAATTTTTGGTTGTGTCAAAGGTTTATTACGAAAGGGAAGCATTTTACGGTTTTCATTTTAATTCTAGCATGAATAACATTTTCTTCTTTAGTCTCAATAAAAAAAGTAGCTTTAATGATTTTTGTTTCATTTTATTATTTTTTGACTAATATATGTTATGAGTTCTCAATACTTTTTTTTGGCTAAATTGCAAACAACACAAAGAACTGTGTGTCTGAGTTGTTATTTAATGAGTAAACTGAGTTTTGTAATCATCTTGCAGTTAGGGAAAACTTATATTTTTCTCATAACTGGTACATAATTATAATTGGTAAATTTTTCATAATTGGTACAGTAAGAATTGTCACATTCATCTCAATGACAATGTTTTTTAATATCAAGCAACAATATCAAACTTTTCCGAACATCATCAATGATGTTATTGTTTAATGACTTGAGTTTTGTGTAACACGAAAAGCTTTTTTTTAAAAATTGTTCCTTTTTAAATATGAATGTAAAATTATAATATTCTGTTTTTATTTTTTATTTATTTATTTTTTCAAACTGACCTACTGACTTTTAAATAAGTATAAGTGAAATATTTACATGCTCAAAAGCAAAAAAAAGTAAGGTCCTGTTTGTACTAGTTAGACAATAACTGAGAAATAAACTTCATAGCACAAATGAACAAGAATAAAAAGGTATCTGGCTGTCTCGGTATTTTTGCTGCTGCCACAACGAAACAGCCTAGACTATGAGAATGTACCACCATTACAGCATCAAAAGCCTGTTTTTTTTAAAAAAATTTTTTTGTGCTTATTATATTGTAAAGTTATTTAATTTAATTTTTACAAATACTATAAATACGAAGGCTTATCAATTTCCATGGATTTGAAGCGAGGATGCATCTAGTAAAGAATGCGTGAGATACTTAAAAAATGTGTTTAGATGCCTAATAGATAACCTAAACATGCTACATGAAGGCTCTTAATACCATTTAAAGGTTACTATTTTTGGATTCTGCAATGCTAAGAATTCTAGCTGTTATTTGTATAACTTAGAGATTTTGTATTTGATTTGTATAACTTTTAGATCATAAATCCTTATATGCAATAAGGTACTATATTTTCTCTTTTTTACTTTTCGTTCTATTTTTCTTTCTACTTTTTGACTTTTACCTCCCTTTTTCTGAAATAAATTATATTGTTTGAACTACTTTAGAATATCACATAAATTTTAAATTATATTTATTAAAAAATGCTATAGAAAAAAATAACCGTTAATGAATTATAGTTAAACTTACTTTGTAAAAAAGGTTTAGCAGCAAAATTAAAATTTAAAATGAATTTTCGTTGTGCCACGCATGGATCACTAAATATACTTATGCAATTTTTCTTTTTTTTAAATTAAACCTGTTATTTACAAACAACCCAAAATCAATTACGCAGTTGTTTTACTGCATAGTCAGGGTTGTTGCAGTGAAAATACTTTTACACTCCCTCATCTGTTAACAGGCAGACGATCCAAATATGTCACATGTTTTAAAACCCAGATCCGTATTTTACCAAAAGTTCTTAAAAATGCTTTTTAAGAACATTAATAATAAAAGAGTATTACCATTCCAAGGCTTACGATTTATGCTAAAATACTTAAAAGTAACGAAAAACATTTGTAGCTGAAATAAGACTTATAGTAAAATAAATTGAATACAGGTGTGTTTTATGCAACCTTTGTCTCGAAACTGTTTTTTCCCCAAAATTTGTTAGGAATAAAAGATTCTATGGAATTTATTTAATGTTAATAATAAGATTTTGTTTTTGTTTTCTTATGTAAATAGTTTTTTATATCTTTATAGTAAATAAACTTCGAATAAATGAGGAGATACTGGTATTTTAAAATGTTTACAACACTTTTAATTTTAGTATATGAATATATTCTAATTCCGTACAACCTCTAAGAAGTGCTCATATTAATATGGAATGTTGATACGAAATTGAATAATTTTTATCTTGATCTCAATAATTTTTAGCTTGATCTAGTTTCAAATTTTATTTACTAATCAGAACTAAAAACACTTCAGTTTCCAGATCAGTTTTGAAATTTGCTTCCGAAATTTCAAAACTGATAAACAATGTAAATAAACAATATACGTTTTGTGTAGCATTTAAAGAATAGACAAATTTATCTCTAAACTGTTTTTTTCTCCAAAATTTGAGGGGAGAATAAAATTCATAAAACTCAATTCATCTAGACCATTTTTCTTTACATTACTTAACATTGAAATTAATTTTCGTTCATAAAAGTATTCGGAGAATAAAAATATAGTCAAAACTACCGAATTATGGTGAAATTTGCTAAGTTTCTTTATCTATGGGAACCCCGAAAATCAAGGTAATATTCACCGAAGAGTCTTGGAAATGATTTTGGTAAAATTAACAACAAAATACTGCTTTATAATATGCTTTAAAATTTCGTAAAAGTGGTAAAATTTGATAAATTACATAAATATTCTTACATGTGTAACATAAATTTTTTAATTCAGACCAAAATTTTTCTTTAGATTTAAAAATACAGGTTATAGATGCAGATTCACAATTCTGTTTACTTCACAGAAAATATTTTGTGTTGATAGCACAAAAAAACATAAAATTTTAACTTCAAGCAAAATTTTTCTATAGATTTTTGGATTTAGATTGTAGATATAGATTCACATTTTGGTACATTTTACATATGCAGTGCAAACAGCATAATCCAATATTACATATAACATATAAAATTTTGAATTCAAATCACTCTTTTACAATAGATTTAATTCATAAATACATATAGATTCACATTTTTATATATTTTATATGGACACTGCATATGGTATAAAACATTTTCTCACCCGTAGCAAAAAGCTTTTGCCTTCAAACCAAACTTTTTCTAAAAATTTTGAAATGTAGATTATAGATGTAGATTTTTAATTCGGCATACTTTATGAATACAGTGCTGAAAAAGTGCCTCGCGGAACCTTAAATTTTTATATGAAATTATTTTCTGTATTCCTGTTGCTTTTTAAAATTTAGATTATCAAGGTATATTGATTGATGCATTTAATTTTTGATACATTTAATTTCTATTTTTGCTATATTTAATTTCTATTTTTGCTATATTTAATTCAGGCAGTACAGAAGAAGACACGATTGCAGTGTAAGTGCCATGGCGTGAGTGGATCCTGTGCTTCCAGAACTTGCTGGTCGGCTCAGATGGAATTTCGCGAAGTTGGGAGACTATTGAAGAGAAAGTACGAAGGGGCTGTGCAAGTGACCATGAGCAACCAGATGGCTTTGGTGTCTGTCGATGGAACAAAACCCTACACTAAACTGGATCTAATATATTTTGAGCCATCACCAGATTTCTGCGCCATCAACAAGTCGTTGGGTTTGTATTGAGTGTTAATGGAATTTTTAACATGAATAGATATATAGTTTGTCTAAAATAAGAACTCCCCCAGACATACGTCTGGACCTGTGGCGGTGACTGTGGTAACGAGATATGACTATTTCAAGTAGGGGTGCGGGGTCACTGTTTTGCAGTGGTTTCGGCTCGGGTCAGCGACTGAAAGGGAATCTTTCTTCTGTCTATTGTATTAGTCCCAGAGTGAAGCTACCCTCCCTAAAATGCACCATTCTTGTCTCCATAGCCCCAGACGGCCTCAGACTTTGTGGCGGGAGGAGTTCTTAGCTTTGACAAACTATACTTTCTTATTGACTTTCCATAACGTATGTTTTCAGATTCCTCTTCAGATATCACCAACCTTATGGCAAGTGATTTTTTTTCCTTTTAATTTGGTTTGCATAAAAAAGTTGGGTTAATCTCTTTTCAAACTGGAAATATCCTATGTCAAGCTAGTTTCCTTAAAAAATGAATAAAGGCTTGTAAAAATCTTATTTTTTTTAGCTTTCACTGAGAGCCTTGTTTTTTGCTTTTTTTTTCATTCTAGCTTTGTGCAGACTCTTAAATGAAACATTTTGTTTCTGCAGGAAACTTAATGATCAGACCAAACTTCACTGACAAAGTGTTAAAGAAAGTTTATAAAAGCAAATAAACCTTATTTCAGTGATGCACATGAAATCTAAAATAAACATTGAGAACGTAAATTTAGCCCTGGTTTGAGAACGATTTCTACTCTTGATTTGTGAATGATGATTCATCCTCTAGTCTTACATTGTAAAGGCAGATTAAATCTCGATCCAAAAAGGTTGTTAATGCAAGTTTATTTGCAAATCATTTATAAACCTTATTGGGATTTGTGATAAAGGTCGTTGCTGACATTAAAAATCCACCATACACTGCTATCTGGGCTAATAAATATGAAATTTTTTCCCCACCACATTAAGAGTTACAAAGTATTATTTAAGTGAGAAAGAACCAGAACAATTCAAAGCTGTGATCAACCATAATTGAAGTCAGAAGAAGCAAGGAAGGGATTTAAATCATCAATAGATAGTCAGTTTCTCTAGTCTACCTGGAGCGCAATCCTCTTACTCTTGGAACCACCTTTGAGCTATATCCACAAATAAATTGGTTTTAGATTATTTGAATCTCATATAAGACGCTTTTGTTTCTGCTAAATTAAGTAGTAATCTTTTAAACTTTGCATCACTTTTTCAATTTTATGATCGTGTTTAGAAACAAATTTCTTTTCAGTTGTTTATGACTGCTTTATGAAATTGATTGAAAGTCTTATGTTTCGAAGTGAAAATTATCGAATCTTATCACAGATCTGCCATGAAAATTCTCGACGGTTTTAATCGTTATTTCCTCATCACATTTTTTTTTCTTGTTGCGTTACTGAATAATTAAAAAGTAAATAAATTGGTACACTTCGTAATAGTGATGTTCTTTTCATATAGCTAAAATGAGCAGAACTAGGCTGTCTACCGGTTATGAAAAATTTCGTGACCTTTATTACAAATTCGATGATTTTCAAAGAATTTTGAGCAGACTGATTTTTAAGATTCAATTTCTGTAACGAATCTAATATTAGGGAACAGTTATTAATTTCAGGAAGAATTAGTAACTAGATACCCTAAAAGAGATTTATGTTTGAGTCGGTACACTCTGTGGATGGCAATAACTGTCATTTGCCAATCGCAAAAATTGTGCGGCAATGGCTGTCATTTGCGTCAACGTTTCAATGTGTATTGTTTTTTTCTCACTTCATTTATTACTTCTTTTATTTTACTTCACATTAAGAATAATCATTATAGAACATTAAGAATAGTCATTAAAAAACATTAAGAATTGCCATTATAGAACATTAAGAATAGTTATTATAGAACATTAGGAATAGTCATTATAGTCATAACATATGTGGCCGGAATAGCCTAGTTGGTAGGGCACTGGGCCCATGTCCAAGAGGGCGTGGGTTCGATCACCGTCGGCCGAAGATTTCCCGTGTAGTAAATAGTGACTGATGCACGTTAAATCTGTCGGGGTTACAAAGACCTCCAAGTTCCCATAACTAATCAATACCTCTAGGGGTACTGATTCAGGAGTTTCCTTGTCTTCTGGATTGGCTCAAAACTAAAAGGCTACGGAGTTGAACAATAGTAGTCGCAAACCTAATGTTGGGTAGGTTGTTCAACGACGGATATATAGTCATTATGGAATAGTTTTTTAGTTACACTATACAATTTTAAGTTATATCTTATTCAATAATGCATAATAATTAGTGCAAAGCTGAAAAACGTAAATGGAGCGTTTTTTTCTTGCTGCTATTTGTTTGTCCCATGTTTTTCTTCTGTCATTTTGTATTTCAACTCTGAGGAAGGTTCTTGTCTACAAAACCGAAATTATTGTATTTCTCCTTTTGCACCATTATATGTGCTTCAATGTTTTTCAGCACTATTCATAAGTGTTATAAAATGCATTCTATTTTCCTTTTTTAACAATTATGTCGATATAAAGAAATTTATTCTTCAACTCACATCCAATTAGTTTACGGCATTGTTTGATTATTGATTGATTAATTGATTATTAGATTGTCATCCATCTATAGTTAAAGAGGATATCATTTTAAATAGAAGCTGTTTAAGAGAAAGTTTTCTATGTAAAAATATAATTTGGTGTGGGAATAAAGTGTGTTAAGGTATTGTTGTTGTCATTTTGCAGGTACTCTGGGTACCGGTGGAAGAAGATGTGACCGAGATTCGAAAGGTGTTGAAGGGTGCGCCATTCTGTGTTGTGGCAAGGGTTACGACACTCGTAGAGAACTTTTTGCAGAAAAATGTTCTTGCAAATTCAACTGGTGTTGCAAAGTGAAATGCAAAGTTTGCAGAGAATGGAAAGATGTATATACGTGCAAGCACAGCATTTGAAAAAAGTATGTTATAATCTTTGCAAGACGTCAAACTCATGTCCAAGTTTTTCTTGCTGCTTTTTGAAGCATTTGATACGTACCAAGTACGATTAGTGCAAATATCTTTAGTACGGAATACATTTGTACAAATGCAGAATCAAAGTATTACTTAGTGCAATTAACTCTAGATTGGTCTTTCTGCATGTCACGTGACAAAACAAATGTCTAGGGCTTTGAAATGGACCTGTGAATGCTTGGATCAATGTAAAAGATACCACATGAGATTACCTTAGAAAGTACTGGCAACCTAAATGCGGAACTTTTTACCATAAATAGTATTTTTACCGTAAAATTTTATGTAACCAAAAATCTGTTATATTACCGTTATTTTTATGCAGTAATATTTACTGTAAAATCATCGAGTCACTGTAATAATAAATAAATATTACTGTAAATACATCCCTGTAAAATGCAAATATTACTGCAAAATTTTACGATAAAAATGGATTATACAGATTTGCACTTCGGAAGTTAGTACTTTTTACCATAATTTATCCGGAATTCCTTACAGTGTGATGACACTGGCAAGCTAGGCATTTTATCTTTAAAAGAAATTGTAGCATATGGTGAATTAAGGTAAGATGCTTAAAAATAATTTACAAGTTAGTTGTATTTGAGTCACATCATCATTTAATTTTTTATTGTCTTGGGGAAAAATTCTTTCTGTTTTTATTTAAATTAAAAACAGATATACAAAATTGCAAAGACGAAAAGTAGATATGAAAATTGTAAGAACATAATTGTATGCAATTTGCTATTGTTTTTCATAATTTTTATTGTTTCAATGACATTCTTCTTAGATTGATTGGAATCTGTGAATGCATTAAATCGAATTGTATGTGATTTCAAACCTAAAAAGCAAAAAAATAAGCTTTTGAAACTTAAAATAAACTACTGACTCAAATTATCTAAATGTACATTCATAAGTGTCATACGATTGCGGTCAATATTTAAGTTTTAGAAATTAAATGAATTTAAATTCATATAAAATAATTATTTCGTACTTTTATTAAGTAACAGAAACACAGAGATTTACAAACCGGATAAAGAATTTTCCCCAATGGTAAAGACAAATATGATTTTTTGCTATTTTTAAAAAAAAATATTTGACTTTTTCGAAAATATTGATGGAGCATTTTTGAAAACGTTAATTGAATTTTTTAGCTGATGTTAATCAATTCATTATCATGAAAACAAGAAGCTCAAATACTATGTTTTATTCTATAACATAATGTTTTATTAAAATTGGTTATGGCTAATAGAAATTTGTAATTTATGCAGATCATAAGTGTGCATTTAAAATGTTTTGTCTATTTAAAGTGAAGTAAGTTTCTTGGTGACAATCTTTCTCTAGTTCTTGTAAGTATTTAATTACACTTGGGGTGATATGTGTCCATGTGATTCATGTGTCCAACTGTTATAGTATTTATTTCGTTATGTAAAATAAATTTTAGCTTTATTTATGATGTGGCAGTTGATTCATTTTTCTTCTCATTTTCAGTCAACAATTTATATCTTTTCAATGTAGCATCTACTTTTGAATTTCGCTATTCAAAATATTAGCTATCTTTGATGAATAATTAGACTGTGAGCATTTCATTTTTAAGTGAGTACTAAAAATAATTATGTGATATTATATTATATAAATTGAAAGTTAAGTAAAAGACGCAGATAAGTGACATTCTAGCGAATTTGATTAAATGAGCTTCAAAGTTCATACGTTTCTCGCTATTGTTGTTTTGCTCAATATTTTTGTTTTTGTTATATTTGTGAAGACATAACTCATCAAACTTTTGAGGGTGTACTTATTTGACACTAACTTTCTTTTTAAAGGAGGATTTTTATAAATTTTGTGTGTAACATCTGTTTGTTTTCATGGAGGCTTTTAAGTGTTTTATAACGAATATAATTTTGTTTGAAAAGCTAAATTATATATATTTGGACTTTCATTCACGAAATGAAATTTTAAAAACCTTAATTAGAAACAAACTGGCATCAAATTTCATTTAGCTTTGTCCACAAACGATTCAGAGATTCTAAAAACGACTCAACATTTGCAGAGTCGATGTTGTACCGAAATTTATTGCTTTAGTTGGAAAGAGTTCCTTTAAATACCGCTGATAGTGGTGAGAATGTCCTTTCGTTACATTTAAATGTCTGTCTAAGACTAAATGAGCGTGTTCTTTTCAATTTTAATACGCAAAACACATTGGTAATATATAATTTTTTTTCATTAAAAATTAGCATTTTCCATGCAAAATTCACATTTTTTAAGTTATAAAACTGTTATGGTATTTTTTTTATCGTTGTAAACGATACGATCATGACGATACGATACGTTGATACTATTCGTAACGATATATATATATATATGTTATGAG